AGTAAAGGGAGAAGCCAAAGAACTTACATGTACGACCCATGGACATGAACTAAGGCAGGGGCGGGGGAGGTGGTTGCTGGAGGGAGGGGGGTGAAGGGTGGAGGGGAATAAAGGGGGAAAAAGGGGACAACTGTAAAAGCATAATCAATAAAATATACTTAAAAATAAAGATGATAAAGAAAAAAATTAAAAATGGGCAAAGACCTGAATAGACACTTCTCCAAAGAGGACATACAGATGGCCAATAGACATATGAAAAGATGTTCAATGTCACTAACCATCAGAGGAATGCAAATAAAAACCACAAGATACCATATCACACCTGTCAGAATGGCTATCATCAATAAATCGAAAAAACAAGTGCTGGCGAGGATGTGGAGAAAGGGGAACCCTTTTGTACTGTTGGTGGGAATGCAGACTGGTGCAACCACTGTGGAAAGCAATATGGAGATACCTGAAAAAATTAAAAATGGACCCAGCAATTCTGACCCAGCAAACCCACTTCCAGGAATATATCTGAAGGAACCCAAAACACTAACTTGAAAGAACATAAGCACCCCTATGGTCATTGCAGTGTTATTTACGATTGCCAAGATATGAAAGTAGCCCTAGTATCCATCAATGGATGAGTGTATAAAATTTCTATGGGATATTTACATAATGAAATTCTACTCAGCTGTGAAAAAAATGTTACCCTTTGCAACAGTATGGATGAACCTGGAGAATATTATGCTCAGTGAAATAAACCAGTCAGAGAAAAACAAATACCATATGATTTCACTCATATGTGGAATCTAATGAACTGAACATACAAAACAGAGACAGACTCATAGATGGAGAACAGATGACAACTAGTTGGAGGGAGAGGTGAAGGGGTGGAGGGATTGAGCGAAAAAAAGAAAAATGACTCACTGATATGGGCAACAGGGTGGTGATTGCTGGGGGGAGGGGCATATAAGGGGACTAACTGGTAATGGAAAAAATGTAATAAAGGTTATATATTTTTAAAAACCTTAATAAGTAACAAAGGCCCCATCAAGTAGGCAAAAATCCCTACCCATTGTTGGTAAGGAGATGAACAAATCGGAACATGGAATATTTAAACATAGCTAGAAGGAATATATAGTTACACTATTTTGAGTAACAAATCTGCACCATCTACTAAAGGTGAATATAAACATATTCCATGGCCCTGTATTTCTCCTATACATGCACACTAAGACTCCTGCACACATAAAGCCACAAGACACGATGAAGAATGTTCACAACTGAGCTACTTGAGGGCACATATCAAGGTAAATTAAAATGTTGTGAATGTAACTAACCTGACTATATATACACAACATAGTCTAATCTCAGAATGGTAATGTGAGTAGGAAATTACATTGCGAAAGGATACATACAGCATGATTCTACTTATGTAAAGTTAAGCATGCATGAAGTCAAATATTGGATTGACCAAAAAGTTTATTCATTTTTTTCCTATACTATGGCTCTAGTAGCACTTAGCTGTCTTTAATATTATTTGAAACAATTTTGTTAGATTGTATTGTGACAGCTCTCATATCAGGGTGCATTTTTAAAAAATTCATCAGAATTGAACTTTTATGTAGTCATTATTGAAGATGGAAGAAAATACACAGCATTTTTGGCACATTATGCTTATTTCAGGAAAGGTAAAAATGCAAGTGAAACAAAAGATTTGTGCAGTATATTGAGAAGGTACTATGACTGATAGAACATGTCTGAAATGGTTTGTGAAGTTTCATGCTGGAGATTTCACACTGGATGATGATCCACACTTAGGTAGACCAGTTGACATTGACAGCGATCAAATTGAGACATTAATAGAGAACAATCAATGTTATAATACGTAGGAAGTAGCCAACATACTCAAAATATCCAAATCAATGATGTTATTAGTGAAAATGAAAAATGTGTCTTTTATGGAAAAATCTCTATGGATTTTGTGGCCAATCCAATAATATAGTTTACAGATATGTGCACATGTGATAAAACTACTATAGCAAAAGCAAGGTCATGATAAAAACAAAAAGGGTTACCTGTGGGAAGAGGAGGATTAAGACTGGGAAAGTACACAGATAATCGTAAATCAAGTAGTCAAATCTAATGGCAGAAAAACACACCATAGATCCTTGAATAACATCATTTCCTTCAACATCGTTTCATGAGGTTGATGATGGGAAAACAAAGGATTCCTGGCGAGGCCACTGTCTCTATCATTTGCACGGTCTCCCCATGTTCCTGTAGGCTTTCTCTGAATACTGTTTTTTCCCCCACATCCCCAAAATATGCAGGAGGTGAAATGGCATGTATAAGTTATCCCTGTGTATTTACAACGGAAGGGTAAATACAAAGGTGTGAATTTACATTAAAAGTGTTTGGGGGTCTTTGTTTAGAAGTTTGGTGATGTTTTCATGACCAGAAAATAGAAACTTAACCCCCTTTTATCAATTAGCCTAAGATAAAATTTGTTTCGTTATACATCGTTTAGCTTACAGGTTTGAAGAACAATGATGTTGAGGACTTGATGTATTTACACATACACTGAGTTATCCCTGTACTTTACATACAGCTTATACATACCCTTCATATCTACTGAATACTTGGTAAAAACAATGTTTTCAAAACCCTACATTCTTCAGAAGTGGCAACAGCCAAAAAAAAATTAGATGTCCAAATATAGACAACTGTTACCGTAACTGAGCATATTGCCATAGGTGTATTGAATTTTTCTAAATTAAGAAAAAAAGAAGCCAGGCCACTGAAAAATGTTTAATTATATGCAATTGTTTATTTAAAATAATTTTCCAAGTCTTTACATAATTTAACAGATTTTGCTTCACTTTTCTCCCCTCAGACAGCTAGAAACCAACATTTACATTTTTTGTCTTTTAATCACTATATAGGCCATTTTAGCAACAGTATCCTTTATTATTACTAGAACCAAGATATATCACCCAATAAACAGTACACATTTATTTTCTTAGTAGTTCTGATGCCATTGATAAATTTCTTGGGATTTATCCAGATGTTGGATGCTATTTTGAGCCATCTCCAACTAGCTGTCTGATTTAGGAAAATCATGCTACTTCCTCAAGCCTACTTTCTCTTGCAAAATAATAGGATTAGAATATTTCCATAGTTTTATCTGGCTATAAAATCACATGAATATATTCCTCACCATTTTCAATTAATTTTACTTCATTTGCTACTTCTCCACTTATAAAGCATAATCACCTATACTCAAGTAAATATGAAAGCATTAAAAAATAAACACAAACCCAACATACTCTTACTCTAATATACAGTGGAATCTTGGTTCTTGAACTTAATTCATTCCAGAAAACTGTTCAAGAAGCTATTTGTTTGAAAACTGAATGTCCTTTGCTTGTCATCTGAGTGATGTGTGATTATACCCAGTATCTGCATGAAAGGGCTGTGGGGTAGAGAATTGAGACTCAAAGTTCTGTTCGACAACAGACATTTTTTCTGTGACCAACTTGGTTGAGAATTGACTTGTTCAAGAACCAGGACATTTGAGAACCGAGGTTTGACTATATTCCTATTAATACATAAAAGGGGTTTCACTTGAATTTTCATTTTTTTATTTCTATTTGTTTAAAGTCACAACTGTAAAATGAATGCATTTAAAAACAGAAGATACATTTAAATGACAAAATATGCAATCATGAAAATCTACTGTATACTTTGCCAAGGTTAACAGAATAAAAGATAAGTCAATCTCCAAATTTAGCCTTAACAAAAACTCCCTCCTGATAGTAAAATCTTTAATATGTACATTTACATATCTGAACATCAGCTCCCAAAATGAATGTGTATGTGTGTGTAAGGGTGCTAGATAAAAATACATGGGCATCAAGAACTCAAGATTAAATTTCTAAAACTAATAATCAACTCAAAATAAGATGAACATTTCTAATAGACGATAATTGTATGAAACTATTTTTCTCAACAGAAATGAGATGGGGCATTTCTCAACAATAATGGCTTAGTAATCATCTGAGAAAAATTGTGGAGATACCCCAGTCTCAATCACTGGTATAAAACAAACACCTTCTATAAAATTACCTTTTACATGATGAAAATATTCTCACTTACTTGGGATAATTTATGTTTAAGAAGACTTTAAACATGTGTTTTTAGATGTCTGAAATTACCAGAACTGGATTTTTGGAAACATCTATGTTTTACTAATAGTTGAATATTTGCAGAGATCATAAACCTTTCACTATACACTGATTGGGTTTCCTTAAGCATATTTGATCAACTATTAACAGTGATAATAGTGGGAACAGCGATACTCTCAAACTTTTCCTTTTAAAAAATACATAATCCCTGTAACATTAATTATTAAATATGTTACATTATATGCTTTCTTAATAAGGAATGACTGTTTTCAGGCCCCAGTATGATGAAAAGACACTAAAAATGGCATTTACTGCCTGTACTATCACTGAGAAGCTAAAATTAACATTCAAATGATAGTCTATTATGTGACATTAAGCAAAATATGAAAATCATAATTTTACCGAAAGAAACAATAGACAATGGGAAGAAATTCAGTGAGCACAATGTAGGTCCCAAAGATTACACTATGATTCTGAACTAGATTTTTCAAAGCAAGAGGTGTCTACATACAATTCCTGTGAATATTTCTTATACTATGAAAATAAATCTCAAAGCAGATGTAGTCTAGCTCAGTCAAAGGTAAATACGCAGATGAACTAGAAGTTCCATTTGCTAAAGTGCACCAGCAGACCAAATCTACTTTGCTCCTGCTGCAGAGCATGGTCCAGAAGTGGCCATCACTCATGCCTATTCATTCACTCACTGTGCTATCAACAGTCATATAGAATGATGGATTTTCATAAATCAAATATTTTATGCAGTGGACTATAGAAACAACAATCCTAAGTATACTATCTTCTAAAACTCCAGAGAGTAATATAACTTCATTATTTTTAAATACTGAAAATGTAAAGGGTCCATACAAATTAAGAATTGTATTAAGCATATACTTTTTACTTTAATATTCACTTGATGTGTGCTCTTAAAATCTCTATGAGAGAAGCAGGTATTTTCCCCATGTCTTTTGGCAATAGATTCAAAAGCAAAAGTAGCAGTGCTGTTGAATTCCATGGAACTTTTTTTAAAGCTAAATTATTCAGTATCTGTATTGTTATTGCACTCATAATCTGCCTGGAATACATCTATTGTAACTCAGCAACAGTGAATGCAAAAAAAGTAAGGTAAGTAGGTCTACAAAGCATTTAATTTCTTTATTAGATAAGAAAGTGTTCATAGAGGAAAGGCAAACAACTGCAGTTCAAATATGATTATATATGCTTAACAATTATTTAACCTTATATAAAATTAAGTCTAACTCTCACTACTACAAATCTTAAGGAATCAGAAAAAGATTTACAGTACACAAAGCCTTGACTATTGTTGCATTCCACTCTTGAAGTCACTCTGAGTTAAAACAACAATTTTTCCAAGATTTAAAGAAAAATATATTTTATAAAAGGGATTCTTTTTAATCACCGAATACATCATTTTTATTACTAAGACAGAAACAAGTTACACTTTTTTCCCCACTATAATTCACTCTGATGAAAGATTTCTCTCTCATTTAACTTCTAACGAAAGCTACACTTTCAAGACTAAAGGAATTATCAGTAGGCATTCTTTCTTTGTGATTTAAGTTATTTATCTCTAAAATATGTCAAGTAAGCTTTTAAAGATTCAGGGAGGGGGAGCTTCATGATTTTTTCTCTCAGTAAATTCTGAGGTGGCTCCTCGGGCTTCATGGCTTCGCTGTGATCTTTCTCTTCCTCTTCTTTGTTATCTTCTTCCATTTTTTCATCCTCCTCACTGTCTAGAGGCTGAGGAATAAGCTGATTACCCACAAATACGTAAGTGTTAATTCTCTGTTTAACTCTCTTTCTTTTCCTTTTGGGTGGAGCCCTCTGAGGAATCCCCTTGGCTTGCATCTCATCATTTATGAAATTTCTAAGGGTGCGCCGAATGTAAATACGAGCCAAGTCCTGCAGATTCCTTACAGCACAGGGGGCTATAAACACACACACACACACACACAAAAACATAAAAAGAAAAACGTATTATTAATTTCTTCACATAACAAAACATGTGTTTCCTAGGAATGTTAGAAAAGAGTAAGTATAAAAACTCTGACTGCCAAACTAACAGAGATTTCAAGGTGTTTACTATGCCAAGCACCATTCTAAGAACTGAGGACAGTGGACAGTGCAGAGGTTTATATGTGTAGATTTGTGTGTGACGCTTTTTATCACCATAAAAATTCTTTGGAAGGGAAAAATAAGAACTTATAAACAGATTACATGAGAATTAACTAGTTAGGAGACAATAGTAGAAAGATTTTATCCTACATGCATTTTATATTTTTTATGTTGAAATAAATCTATTTAAAAAACCCAAATAAAGAAAAATTTGAACAGATGCACAAGTATAAACTCTAAAGCTGGTGTGCACGTACACACACACACAATTTCTATCTTTCTGTAAATCAATTAAAACTGGTTCATATGGAAAAGGCCGCCAGAAATGCCGTAAAGAAACACTTAATAACGCAAAGAAACACTAAAGATTTCTTTAAGTTATTGATGTTTACTTCCATCAAATGTATCAGAGTTGGAACATATCCTTTCTGCTTCATTACCATCTCCTATGCATCTATAAATGCATAAGCCCTAGAACCAGACTTCTTTGAAGTCTGTTCCAAACCAAAGCCTTATACATAAATATATTCTCTAGTCCCCACCTAAAATTCACTTCTCCTAGTTTCCATTCCTGTAGAAATAAAACTATTATCAAGGATCCTTCTTAAATACCTAAACAAAAGACAATCTTCCTCAGCATTAGTTGAAGAGCATTAAAAATCTTCACCATTCGTTTTTCATTTCTTTACTTCTGGTTCTCTTTTCTCAATGCCTCCCTTCCAAACCTTTTTGCTATAACATTTGAAATCCTGACATGTTTAGTTATTTGTATACGGTCTGTCTTTGTCATCACTCTGTGAGCTCTAGAAGGGGAGGGGCTTCTGGAATTTCCTCTCTGTGCCCCCCCCCACCTCCAAGGAGCCCTGTAGGACCAGCCTTCCATAGTACGTCATCCTATACATGCTCACAGTGTGCTTCCTGTGTTCTTCACACCACACCCTTGTGCCCTGGCCTATGCCCAATCACCAACTGGACACACCCAGTAATAGCAGATTTAAAAAAAAAAACCCAAGGGTAGGAGACATCTTAGACTGATTCAAAGATCCCTTAGCACATATCTATTTTATATGTGAATAAAAAAAATTCTTACAATTGTCTTTTTTTAACTCTCTACTGAAACCTGAAGTGAAAAAGAATTCCACGCAGCCATATCGGGTATGTTTAGCTAGAAACCCTTTTTTCTTCCTTCCTGTTTGGACCTGCCACCGACTATATGAGGTAGAAACTGAAACAACATAACATCTTTGAGTTCAAGTCCTATTTTTGCTAATGATTAATTTTTTCAACATGGTTAAGTAACAACAGATATGAAATATGCTCCCTTATATATTAAAATGTGTAAAATACCACCTACTCTCCCTACCTCCCAAAATTATTCATCAAGTTACTTAATATTTGTATAATAACTATACATTAAAATACATGCCGGGTACTGGTAAAGAATTCATTTATTTAACGCATAGAGAGGATGACTTAGACTAAGAAACTTTCTGGTCTTACGGAGATTATATATTTGGGGGGGTAGATTAAAAACAATTATTAAAAACAAAACCTAGGAAATATGAAAAAAACACCAATGACATAGAAAGTAATATGGAGGTATAGCTACTTCTGACTGAGTAGTCCAAATAGTGCCCTGAGGAAGTCATGTCTGAGCTAGGATCCAAATGACATGAGAAAGAGCCATGTAAGTATCTTAGGGCAAAGGGAGTGTCAAAGCACTAAAAGGTAAATGAGCTTAGCATGTTCAAAGAGCTGAAAAAAAAAATGCTAGTGTAGATAAAGTTTGGAGCAGGAAGAAAAAAGAGATATGATCATGCATGGTCTTGTAGGCCTTGGTAAAGAATGCTCAGTGTATTTGCCACATAGCTATTGAAGGGTTTTAAGAAGGCAAAAGTTATACTGTAATGAAAATGACACTATGGCTCCTCTGTAGAGTGGACTGTAGAGAGAGGGAGCAGAAGGTCAGCGGGAACACTCCAATGATCCAGTGAAATGTGACCACACTTCAGTGGAGATGGGAGTGGGAGAGGGTGGCAATAAAGATGGAGAAGTGGACAAATTTAGAATATATTTTGAACATAGGATGAACAGGGACTGGTTGTGGGAGTTTCTGCCCAACCAACTAACAGATGCTAATGTCAGTTACCAACATAACAAAGAGAAAGAATAATTTGGGAAGAAAATAAAAGATTTGTTTTGTTTTCTTGTTAAATCTGAAATCCAAAATGGAAATTTCAGAATAGGAACAACAATGACATACCAGTCACCATTTCAATGTTTTATATGCAATAACTCAAGGCTAAGAGAGAAAAGTGAAGTAGAGGAGAAAGGTTAAATAACTTGCTCACGGAGATCGTAAGTGACAGAGTTAGAACCTGAATGCAAGCATTTGACTGCAAAGTCTACACTCCTTTCCTATCACCACTAATTCAAAGAGGCATAGCACCCCTTTGTTCATTGCAGCATTATTTACGATCACCAAGATATGGAAGCAGCCCAAATGTCCATCAGTAGGTGAATTGATAAAACGACTATGGGGCATTTACACCATGGAATACTACTCAGCATGGATGGATCTGGAGAACATTGTGCTAAGTGAAATAAGCCAGCCAGAGAAAGACTAATACTATATGATTTCATTCATATGTGGACTCTAACGAACAAATTGAACTAACGAGCAAAATAGAAAGAGATTCATAGATAAAGAGCAGGATGACATCTAAGGAGGGGGTAGGGAGTAGAGGGAATGAGGAAAAAGGATTCATGGTGATTGCGAGGGGGAGATGAGTATAAGGGGACTAAATGGTAAAGGGAAAAAATATAGTAAAAAAAAAATAAGGAAAAAAAAAATGACTCCAGGATTCAGGGGGAAGGTCAGGACTGAAGAAAGAAATCTAGGAGTCATCAGCCACAATGACAGGCAATGACCAGAGAGCACCCAAGCGATTGTATAAACAGAGAAGAAAGGCATAAGCTCGAGTGAGCTTTGCAGCAGGTGAGAGTGGAAAAAAACCTCTGAGTTTTGGACACTATAGAGGAGCTAAAACATAGAAGCTATAATTAGTCTTCCCAGCTGGTCTTCACTCTTCAACCTCTCTCACATTACTACTGATGTTCTCTTTTGACACCTTAATTATGTTCTTCCTCTGCCAACACTGGCTGCTATTCCAGGGACACTCTTAGAATGATGAACCTTTCAATCCTAAATTGTCAGAATGCCTGAACTTCATAAAGAACCAACTAGACCCTGAGTGGAAAAGGATTCAGACTTTAACAATTTCTAAAACTCAGAAGTGCTGAAATAGCACCCACATGTGCTTCATCTCCAAGTTCTTTTGAATGATACAACTTTTAGATAACTTTCAACTCTACCTATGCAAAAATCCCCAATATTTCCTACCATTTGACACTCCTTTGTTTCTAAAGCTTCCAGTTATAAAGATTTAATGAAACAAACAATACTCATCTTGAGTGCTATAAAATCTCATTTTGAATTCACTCTATAATCACAATTAAGGTTATCTCTAATATACACATGTACTCTCTACTTGTTTCCCAAAAGACATTCCCTATACAGACTTTTTAAGAACCTAGCAGTCAGCACTTTCATTTTCATTGGTAAACAAAGACTGAATAAAGCATTTTATTTAGGTCAAACCCAAAAAACCAATTACTTTTTGTACTTTTCACTTATAACTCAAAATGGTATAGTGACATAACTTATAAAGTTGTTTTGTCCCTTGTGATACTGTGATTTATAAGAATTGTACATTTAGCGTCCCATTCCTGTCCCATTTAGGAGTTTAGAACTCCTAAAACAACTGAAATTTCCTAAATGATAAGATCATAGAGGTGAAAAAGATCTTTTTTTGTTGTTCATATAAAGTTCCGCCTGAGTTTACATTTTGTAAGGTGCCTTTTGATAAACCCCTAAGAATGCTGGGCTCGTTGCCAGGGGAAACCAACCATGTAGAAAGCTTCTGGGCTGATGAACACGTGGAGGTGCCAGGAGGGCGGCGTACTCTGAGAAGGCATAAAGCCTTGAGTCATTCTGGCCCCTTCTGGCCATGAACGAAGTCATTCTCATGTACCTTGCAAATATGCATCAATTCCATCTGGCTGTTCTTGAGTCAGATCTTTTTACAATAAACCAGTAGTCTAGTAAGCAAACTGTTTTTCTGGGCTCTGTGAGCCACTCTAACAAATTATCAAACTCTAGGAGGGGGTCATGGGAACCTCTAATTTATAACCAGGCTGTCAGAAACACAGGTGACAATCTGGACTTGCAATTGGTGTTTGAAACTGGAGGAGGGAAAGGAAAATGTTGTGTGACAGACCCCTTAAAATCCTGTGGGGTCTGTACTAACACTGGTTACTGCCAGAACTGAAACAGATCATAAGGATACCCTGTTGGTATCCACAAAGAATTGGAGAATTGCTCAATGTGGAAAATTATGCATATCTCGAGTGCAGAATGATTGGTGGGTGGTATAAAGAGAAAATAGGGTTTTCCTTTAGTTGGTTGGTATACCATTTTTTCCTTTATCTCTTCTAACAGGCCTGCCCCAAACTTTAAGTAGTGTATCCTTATTCATAGAATGTCTTATACCAAAAAGTGTGTGTGTGTGTGTGTGTGTGTGTGTGTGTGTGTGTGTGTGTGTATGACTTTAAGTTGAATAAAAATCAGTGATGACTCTGAGGAACAGTTATATAACTACATTTTAGTAACTTCATATGAGCAATTTCACAGCTATAAAATACACTTGGTAAAGGATTTGCATGTGTATTTTTTTAGGTTTTTCTGTTTGCACTAACATTCTTTTATAACTTAACTCCCTATAATTATGAAATGTCCTCTGAACAGAAAGCTATTTACTTATTTATTTACTTACTTTTAATCTCACCCGAGGACATTTTTTCATTGCTTTTTGGAAAGAGGGGAAGGGACAGAGGGAGGGAGAGAGAAACATCAATGCTAGAGAAAAGCACTAATTCGTTGCCTCCCATTTGTGCCCAGACTGGGGATTGTACATGCCTGGATGGGGGACCAAACCCACAATGTAGGGTATGTGTCCTCACTGGGAATCAAACCCTTAACCCTTTGGCTATAGGACAGTGTGCTGACTACCTGAGCCACACCACTCAGGGCCAGAGCTATTTAAACAAAACGAAAATTTGTACTTATTCTCCGTACCTCTTATTAAACTTCAACAAATAATTTTCATTTTTTCATTTTGTGAACATTACTATATGAAGTTTTTTATATTTTTTAAACTGATAATTTGACTCATTTTTATAAGTTGCTCTTGGTAGCTGACTTTTTTTCCTATTTTAGACTTTTGAGTATACATAAAAAGAGAGGCAATAGTATAATGAACCCCACAGGCCTGCCAATCACCTTCAACAACTATCTTTTATGGCTGATCTTACTTCATCAAAATTCCCATTTCCTCTTCCCATCCCCACCCTGATTATTTTGATAAAAAATTCAGACAGGCCATTTTACCCAAAAATATTTCAGAGGTATGATGGACTTGTTTTTTAAATTTACACTCTTCCCCCATTTTATCCTTTTCCATCAAATTTATTCCTACTTTAACATGAATAGTTACGAACGCCAATAAAAAAAAACCCAACCAGTAGATCCTATTATCTAGATCTCTTTGTGTTGATAACCTTAAAAATGAGGGAGAACAAAAATTGCTTGTTTAAAGAATACCATCATCCATACATTCATACAATGTTACCATAAAACCACATTTACAACCAACACTCTTCTAATGGAAACTAAACTAGAAAAACTGTCAGATAAAAAGGGAAATAATGAGGGTTATAATAGTGTCAGTTACAAAGTAAACCACTTGAATAGTTGCAGAAATCCACAGGTAACTATGTAAGTAGAGTCATATATGATGCACACTATGTTTATGGTTAGGCCATTGTAAAACCAAATTGTGTCAGAGAATTTTTTCATTACTTCTCTTTATGACTCTCCAAACAGTTACGATAGGTTTTACACAAAACTGTTATAAACCATAATTCTAATGTTGAAAAACACGAGGGACAAAGTTTTATTTAGTTACTATTGTTTTTATCAAGGAGTTTAAGTATTCAATAACTGTAGTATAGTCTATAAACTACAGTAATGTATGTTATACATATACATGTACACACATATATATATATGTGGAGGGGTGTGTATAGTCAACAAGAAAGGTAGACTTCAGTGAAATAATTGTATAATGCATATGCACACAAGTGACAGTTATTTGATTCTGGTGCTAGAAAGAAAGAAGTTTCTTTTGGTCCTACAGGACATCTAAAGTGTATCTCTTTTTCATTAGACTGGAAGGAAGTTTAAATTTAACATCCCAGGAGAGTAACTTCATATTTTTAATAGAATGAATCTTTCTGGTAATCCTCTCTTTACTTTTAATCATGCTTATTTTATTTTTAATTTTCCTTATATAATCGTTTAATGCAATTTGTTGTATAGGTTGACTCAAATCCTTTTTGTAAGTAGAATAAATTAACAAGTATATTTGAAAAAAATAGTTGATAACACTTTCTGAATTATAAAAACTTCAAAGTTTTTTTAGAAGTGAGTGTCTAATTTCTTTCTAAATTAGATCAAAATAAGAGCACTGTGTCAGGATTTATGAATCTCATGACTCTATAAGGTGTGTTCAGTGTGTCCCCTCCGCTGGCAGCTCCTATTGGAGAAGAATGCTGATAAGCCCTCTCCTGGAAGAGACCCCTGTGGCCAGTGCCACTCCCAGAGTGTAGCACCACGGAGCTGGGTAGATCTCTGTATCACCACACTCATTCCTCCCCAGGGCAGGAGGAGTAGCTTGTATAGTTTGTGAGTGTGTAAGAAGCAGCTGGCCATATATGGTTCCATCCTTTCCCTTCCCTTTCCCATTAGGATATGTCTACTCACAAGTACTAACACTGGGCTCTGCTCACCCACCTATTTACAGGGTAAGCTCACTTGGTGGACGTTTGGCCAGTGACGTCTCTAACCAAAAGGGTAAGTCTGTCTTATTTATCTGGGGCAGACCAAAGTCATATCTTCCAACTACGTTGAATGGTAATAAAGCTGGCATTTCCATTCTTAGCTATCTAACCCCAAGTCCATCTCTCCATTGGTAAGAACCTGAGCAGGAAAAAAACAGGTGTAATTTACTGACCCTCTCAAACTCCCAACACTACTCTTCATTAAGCAATTATTACATGCCAAGCACTTTATAAATATTACTTCATGTAAGTCTTAAAACCATCCCAAAGGGCCACAAAAATCACATAGCTCTAAAGACAGTAAAATCCACACTGAAGATAAAAATGAATCTCTCTGTAAAACCAGATTCCTATGGAGTAAGTTAATTTAAAAATCAAATTAAAGAGTAAGTCTACTATGGTAAAGTTCATTTACAGTAAAGAACTTTACTTAATGGTGCCTCCTTCTTTCTCAAGGTCTCAGTAATCTTTACCAAGCTGATCATTCCCTCCTATTTGAAATACTTTTCTTTTTTGGTTTTCAACACACTGTGCTCACCATGTCCTCCCATCCCTCTGGCCCTTCCTTTGCCAATACATCTTTCTCTGTTTTATCTGTGAATTTTGTGGACACAGGTCCAATCTTAACACCTCTTCTCTATATCTCCACTCTCTCCTAACTTTTCTCATCCATTCTCATAGCTTAAAATGCCATATTTATGTTCAGGATTTTCAATTTATACTTCCTTCGTGCAGTACGTATACACCCACTTGACTATCTTTCATTTATAATGCTAATAGAAAAGTCAGACATGGCCAAAATAAAGTATCTAATATTCCTAAACCTAGTTCCCAAACTATTTTACCCCAGTCTTCCAAACACCAATAAATGGTACCATCACTCAACTAGCTACTCAACTCAAACTTTTTTTTAAAAGGTTTTATTCATTTATTTTAGACAGAGGGGAAGGGATGGGGGGAGAGAGAGAGAGAGAGAGAAACATCAATATGTGGTTGCTTCTAATGTGCCCCTCACTGGGGACCTACCTGGCCCACAACCCCAGGCACGTGCCCTGACTCGGAATTGAACCAGTGAGCCTCTGGTTTGTAGGTTGGTGCTCAACCTCCTGGGCCACACCAGCCAGGGCTCAAGTCAAACTTTGTATCCCTCTTTTATCTCCACCAACATCTATATAATCCACTATTTTTCTACCTTCAAACCACCAACTCTATCCACATCAACACTGACTCCTCGAGTATAAGTCTTGTATAATCTATCCTCTAGAGCAGCAATTTTCAACCTTTTTCATCTCATGGCACACAAAAACTAGTTACTAAAATTCTGCAGCATACCAAAAAATGTTATATTTTTTCCTGATCTGATTAAAAAATGGGTATCATTTTGGCTCATTCACAACAAATGGCTATTGAGTGTGCTGGCTCTTGTCATTTTTTTTTTTATTTGACCATCTAAGGGAAAAGAGGTCAGTGCCCTGACTAAAATAGTCAGGTATTGCATGCTTTACAAATTCTTGCAGCACATTGGTTGAAAATCACTGCTCTACAGCATGGTCAATGAGCTTTAACTAAAACTTATTTCTGGTCTTCAAATGACCAAGTTCTTTTTAGTCTACATAAAAGGCTTTTGTGTTTGCTGTCCTTCTGTATGGAAAATAATGACACTAAATTAATATATTATAATTAATAATTTTACAACTCATTAATAAATTCATTTGTTTGACTTGCTCCTTCTTTTCATGTTTTCAGGAAGGCAACTAACAGTGTCTGGTACAAGGTAGGGGCTTTAGCAAAAAAAAAAAAAGTGAATAAATTCATTGAATCCATTACTGCATATCTATTTAATTCTTCATAATTACAGAGTTCATTAAATCCCAAGCATCAGAGTTGAAGTCACAGTTCAACTAGAAAAGACCAACAGTTACTTACGGAGTCCCACAGAATCTGGTTTGCCATTATCATTCTTACTTGGCTGCACAAGTGGAGCAAATGAAACAGCAAGAATATTTTTACTTTCCCAAGTATTTTGTCCAGTTCGCATAATTTGTGTTAACTATTTAGAGGGAAAAAAGAAACAAAATAGCTTAATTCTATAAATGTGATTGCCTTACAGTCACAATTTTAACAAAATAATTGCCAATGACTGCTATATAACCACTTTATATAAATGCAACCAAATTACTTTCACTTCAATATTTACTATGAAATAATAAAGAATCACAAATATTGGCTGTTCAAGATAGTTTTATTCCCCTAAAGATTTTATTTATTTATTTCTAAAGAAAGGGGAAGGGAAGGAGAAAGAGAGGGAGAGAAACATCAATGTGTGGCTGCCTCTTGTGCGCCCCTCAACCAAGAACCTGGCCTGCAACCGAGGTATGTGCCCTTGACTGGGAATTGAACCAGCGACCCTTTCGTTCGCAGGCCAGCGCTCAATCCTCTAAGCCACACCAGCCAGGGCAAAGATAGATATTTCAATGTAAATGGAGTATCTAAATATGGCCAGGAGTCTTTGCATATTACATCTGGTGTCTAATGGTTTCTATACCTGCCACTGGCTCCCAAAATACAATGTCTGGAAAAAGTCCAGTCATTGCTAATATAATGAGAATGTGCCTGCATAACATTGCTGTAACCTGACAGCCAAGGAGAGTGGACTAGAATGTGCATGCATGAGCAATGACAACTTCACTCTACTAGTCAATGGAGGTGGTAGATACTATTGAGTGACCATGTATACTGTGTGACCATCACATTCAAAATGATGGAGTAGGGCAATGAATCTGCATCAAATTTTGCATTAAGCTTCAACATTCCTCCATGGAAACTATCCAGATGATTCAGAAGGCCACAGCTATGGGCAACTGGTGACTGCCAGCCTCACCATAAAACAACACACCTACTCCTGTACCCTGTCTTGTGCAGAGATTTTTGGTAAAACATCAAATCACCCAAGTGACTTAGTCCCCCCTAGAGCCCAGATTTGACGGCCTCCAACATCTGGCTTTTTCCAAAACTAAAATCACCTTTGAAAGGGAAGAGATTTCAGACTATTGATGAGATTCAGTAAAATACGATGGGGCAGTTGATGGTGACTGAGAGAACTGTGTGAGGTCCCTAGGTGCCTATTTTGAAGGGGACTGAAGTATTACTGCCCTATGTACAATGTTTCTTGTATCTTTCATCTTCTTCAATAGATCTTTTTCATATTACATGGCTGGATATCTTCTGGACAGATCCTGTATGTCTAACATAGGTTCAGTTGTTTGGTTAAAGCATTATATTAATTAAGTCATGTTTTGATTACTATACCAATAAGTCAACTTCATGATCTTCCATAAAGGTAATAAAATATAAATTCTAATACTAACATCAACTTGACATTTCATTATTAAATATAACTAGTCATAAAGGGATTAGAAATTATACCTCCTCAGCAAACACTCATCACAATTCCTTGGAAAAATATTAGTCCAATAAATAGCTTGATTAAGTTAGTATCTTGAATTTACAGTATAAAAATCATTATTATATTTTATTATAACAGTATATAATAAATATTTGATAAGACACCAACTGGAAGCCATAATTTAAATGTATGAAAATGTAGCTTTAAGGGAAAACAGAAAAAGTTTGTTCATCTGGAAGTCTCAACTCCAGAAACATTCAAGTAAAAATATTTTTCCAGGAACATTTTTCAATAAATGTTTTCATAGTTTATTTTTTTAATAACTGACCAAAAAATTTGCACAGTGCATATTAATGGGAAAATCCACTACAATGCAAATAATAAGGGACCTAAAAGATACATAAACTCCAAAATGTCATGCTAAGTCCCAGTCATCTTAGTCAATCTATCTTCTACTATACAAAACACACAATGTCCTAAACATTTCAGATTTGGGTTAATATATGTTATTTTTTTTGAAATGTATTTTTAGAATTTTTTAAGTAAATGGCTTTTGAAAGATCCACCTATTTCCTAAATAAATTAGTGTTTCATTTTTTTAACCTAATAATTCCAAATCACATGCAGGCAAATAGCTGAAATATACATTAAAATGAGTCCACGCAGTACTAGACAAGGATTTTAAAATTTGTTTTTTTAATAGTGTTAATAAGCAATCTAAACCAAACCCTAAAAAGGATTTCTTTTATTAGATTCAAATAATTTAAAAAACATTGGAAATTGAGCAGCTAGTGAAGAGAGCATCACATTCAGTTGAACACCCCCAGGTGAGAAAAATGGAGGGAGCAGCGTGGCGATGCAGCAGTCCCCCCTTATCCACAGGGGATGTGTTCTGATGTTCCCCAAGGATGCTTGAAATCAGGCAGTATTAAATCCATACATACACTACTTTTTCCCTATACATACATACCTATGATAACGTTTAATTTAGTCACAGTAATAGATTAACAATAATACAATTATAACATACGGTAATGAGTTATGTAAATGTGGTCTCTCTTGTAAAATACATTATTATACTGTACTTACCCTCCTTTGATAATGTGAGGTAATACAATGTCTTATTAAGTCAAGATCCTTCCCCTTTACACTTAAAGGAAGTACTTTACAGCTTCTCTTTGGCATCTCCAAATCACCAGTATCACTACTCTTGCATTCAAGAGCCATTATTAAGTAAAATAAGTTGAACACAGACACTGCAATACCTCCACAGTCCATCTGATAACTGAAGTGGCTACGAAGTGACTGAAGGGTAGGTAGTGTATACAGTGAGAATATGCTGGACAAAGGGATGATTCATGTCCCAGGCAAGCGGGAGTGGGAAGGTTCAAGATTTCTTCATGCTACTCAGAATGTGGCACAATTTAAAACTTAAGAATGATCTCTTTCTGGAAATTTCTATTTAATATTTTGAGACCATGATTGACCACAAGTAACTGAGACTATGGAATATGAAACCATGCATAAGGGAGGATACTTTTTCACAGATAGCAGCTAAGCTTGGTGAAAGACCAAGTCTCTTCTAATAGTAGTATAGGGATCTTTCCTGTATCTGCTTTGGTTAAATAATTAAGAGTCTATTTCATTTTTTTTCTATGTATATACATCTATAGAGAGTATTTCTTCTTTAAAAATCATATGTACCTTTACTGATGTTATACTTCCCATCTTAAACTAATGTTTTTGTTTCTTTTGCCATTAAGCAAAACAACAGTGAAGTTACCTGATCTTCTATAGGCATGACTAGAATGCCCCCAACTTTCAGCAATATTTTCATGTAGTTTTCATGGTCTTTCTGGACTCCAGCTCCACAATAAATTCGATCATACTGATGACTGTCAGATGCTATCTGGAGGCAATTGCCAACCACAAATGCAGGTTCACAGAACTCAAATCTGCATGGAAAAACAAATGTAGTTTAATTCATTTAAACAAACAAAATAGATCTTAAAAATTTAACATTATCCAGTTCTTTGAAATAGTGAAGTAATCAAAATTAATTCTAAGGATAAAAGGTTGTTATGAAATTTAACAGTGATTATATATATTATTTTATTATCAATGTAGTATAAATACAGTATTTTAAAAACTTTTATCTTATTTCTTTTTTGCCACACTGAAACCTAGCTTAAGGGATAAAAAAAATGAATATATGAAAAGCCCATCACAACACCAATCTTGTGACACCACACAAATGACATATGGTAAGTAAGCATAAAAATCACAAAGATCAAAAAATGAAAAAAAAATGAGAAAAGGCTTCACTTTCCACTGCCCTAACACACACACACACACACACGCACGCACGCACGCACGCACACTAGAAATGGGAAGTGCTGGTGCAGTATTTATCTGTGAGTGACATTTTTGCTGCAGTTAACAGTAGCAAAGCTTTGTCAGAAGGACACCGGTGTGACCATATACCCTTGCAAGGGAGATTTTCCTAATAAATTTTAGCAGAGCTTATGTGACAATTTTGGACAGAGAGCAAAATAAATAGTAATTTTTCTTACTGCTGTTTTGGCTCCCGTGATCTCCCTGTGCAACAAAATAAGAGAGATGGTTTCAAAGCAAAGGCATTTTTATCCTGGCCACTTGTTCCTGGTTACAGTGTTGGTTCATGATATATAGAGTTGTGATTTTACACACTTTCCTACTTAGACTTCAACTTTATTCCTTAAATTCTGACAAACCTGAAAACAGTCTCTAACATTTAAGTAAAACCTCAATGCACTAATAAAACAGGTAATCATTTATTAAATTAATTAATGAAATATACTTTCACTTTTACATTGATTAAAGTTAATATGACCACACAGCAAAATCAGGCTCATTTAAGGACAAAATGATTTACATTAAAAGTTTCAGCATGCAGTAAAAAATGGCACTGATTGAATCACAATCATTTTTGCTTTGTAAAACATTTCCTGTCCTTTGGTAATTAACTGACTTATTAAACAATAATTTTCCATTAAAATTTGTTAAAACACAGACACATTTATAATCCCTGTTAATTAAAGAAGAGTTTACCAGGATCACACACTCTCCTCAATTTCCTGTCTTCTTGGTGAGTAGGGTGGGAGTCGGATGGGAAGGTATGAGGGGGTTGGAATGGGTGTGAGCAAACAGTGTACGCCCTACATATAATCTCTTCTCCATTTCTCCACAGTAAGGTAGACTATGCCCCATTATTTCTTTCACTCTAACTGCCTCCTCAGTGCTCATACTTTTCAGGTCTCCCTTCCATCATTTGGCTACCGACAGGGCAGGTTAGGTTCAAACTCCTTACGAATGTCACACAAACTCTGATTCTTTTGTCAAATTGTTCTTCCACTCATTTCCTGGCTCTGCCCCTGCCCACAGATACAATACTAAGTTGCAGCCAGATTGAATTATTTGCTTCTAATTGCTTAGAGGAATTATTATAAAGTGTTTTGAACACTGTACCTGTGGATGTGCTTGCTGTTCTTTTGATAAATGCATACTATCCCTTCAAGATACAGTTCACAGCATTGCAACGAAACATCCAACTTTTTAATAGTATTTCATTTTTTCCACTAGCATAGCACATACAAAAGTGTAAAGTGATCTATATTAGGGACCATGTTTAATTTCTCTTTTATATTCAAGACTATGATATAACTTACGATTATCAAAAATATGACAAAAATATAATTTCTTGGCTTTTAAGTAATGAGATACTGTGGATCAGGTGGTTTAATTATTTTATCAAACATATAGTACAGTAAGCATTCTTTAAAAAGAAAAGGTTAGGCTATTTTCAATGACATCTACATAAAAATCTTCATTTTAAATAATTTAATTTTATAATAATTTGTCAGACATAATTTTCAGATAAATGTGAACAGAAAATTTAAATAAAAATTTGATTTAGTAAACCCTTTTTTACCAATAAGTCTGCTAAATCAACTTGAACATACTCCTAGTTTTAAAAGGTTCCTACTATTTAAAAGTACATGATAGTTTATAGAAGAATTCTCATCTAGAAAAACACCGTTACAAGTGAACTACTTACAATTAAAACTACTTCTCATATTAATGTCATTTTATACATTCTCATCCCAGCAAAATGAATTAGCTAGAATTTAGTGTCTGATCTAAAATTAAATGTGTGATTCTGATCAAGTTACCTTATACTGGTAATTAGTAAAATTCATTATGTCAAATACTATTTATTGAGCGAGCACCAGTTGTGTATAAAGACTGGAAATACACTGGGAAACCATCATGCCTACATTTGTGGAAGAAACTAGAATCAAAGAATCTGACTAATTAAAGATTAGTTTACAACTATGGTAAATGCTCTAACGCAAAGACATATGATTCTATAAGACTGGGGATGAAAGAAATCTAATAGTCCTGGGGAGTCGGAGAAGGGTTCCCTGAGAAATGAGAAACTATGGTCTTAAAAATGAGACCAACCTAGAGCCGCAATATCCAAGTTGGTAGCCACTAGCCACACAAGGATATTGAGCCTTTAAAGTGTGGCCAGTCCATACTGAGATGCACTATAAGAATAAAATTAACCTGGGATTTCAAAGATTCAGTACCAAAAAAAGTAAAATATTTCAACTTTTTTAATATGTGTATGGATATGTGTGTATTTATATATGACGTATGTGTTTGAACAGCCACATAAATTTAAGCACTGCCTGTAATTTAAGTATCTCCTGTAAAAAGGAGCTTCAGAGACTTTCTCTTTAACACATTCATCCCTTTGAACATGCTCCTGGTTCTCCTGCTATCTCTGAATATTTCTCCTAAATTAGTTGTATTTCCATCACCTGTTCCAGTTCTCAAAAAACATTTACTAAATAAGCAAACGATATAAGAAGCATAAATGTTTTGTCAACTTTCCATTTATGAACTTTGAATATGAACCCAAAATTGACAAATTAAATATGTTAATCACAAAAATATCAGGACTAGAAGAGAAGCTTGCCCAGAAATAGATACAGGAAAAAAAAAATGTGCCTATAGCACTCTCTGTAACAACATGATTATTCTTGTTTTACTAAATTGATTACTATAAATAACTGTAGCTTCATATTACAGATTGCATGTTTTCCAAAACTGCCAAAAAGAAAAAAAAAAAAGGAAAACTCAAATAGTAAAACAAAACAAACCCTTTCCTTTTATGAATGAATCAATTGTTCTATATAATGGAAAAGCACTTTTTGGGAGACTTTAAGATTTTAAATAATCCACCGTTATTTTAGGAAGCAACTTGATGTTTTTGCTTATAATACAGATGAAAACAAGTATATCTGCTTCAATGTAGAAAGTATTACAAAGGATCATTAAAAAAAATTAAGAGATCTAAGTTTATAAATAATTTCTACTCCTGCAAATGGAACATATACTTCTAACATATACATATGCAGTCTTTACACTTTCATTTGACATATTTATATTACTGAACTACTGGGTTGGCCAAAAAGTTTGCCCCTCCCCCCCAAAGATGCCTCTAGTAGCACTTAAGTTGTTTTTAACTTCATTTGAAACAATTTTGTTATATTGTATTATGACAGTATATCAGTGTGCATTAAAAAAGAAGGTATCAAAATTAATGAATATTTGTGTAGCCACTTTAATACTGAAGATGAAAGAAAATGCATGACATTTTCAGCACATTATGGTTTATTATTTCAAGAAAGGTAAAAATGCAACTGAAACAAAAAAAAAAGAGATTTGTACAGTGTATGGTGAAGGTGCTATGACAGATTGAATATGTCAAAAGTAGTTTGTGAAGTTTTGTGCTGGAGATTTCTCACTGGACGATGCTCCACAGTCAGGTAGACCAGATGAAGTTGGTAGCAATCAACTTGAGAAACTGAGAACAATCAATGTTATAACACATAGGAGATATGTTGCATATTCAAAATATCCTACTCAACAAAGTTATTGGTGAAAATGAAAAACTGTGTTTTTTATTTTATGAAAAAAAAAACACAAACTTTTTGGCCAACCTGATATTTCTAGATACAGCAGAGTAAAACTTCAAGGACAGTAAAATTGGTGAGAAAAGTGTATTATTTTTAAATGTTGGCACTAAAATATCTAGAACATAGTAGTGAATTCATACACCGAACACATTACATAGAAGTTGTAACACTACCAATTTAGTATTTATTTAAAAAGTGTCTACCAGAAAGTAATCTATATGGGATTATTTATTATACTTACAACTACGACCTTTTCCACCAAATAATAAAAGAATCCTTCATATTAGTAAAGAAAACAACTCCCAAATTACACATATTTATATTATTTTTTTCATATATAAGTGAGCTGTGGACCATCCTTCCTAACAAAAAAACTTACAGATGAGCTTTATATTTCTGACTAAGAATATAGTTGAAAATACCATTTAGATATTTCATATTCTGATACTAAAATTATGGTTTATCTTTATAATAGCATTTCACGTAAATAAATTCAAACCAATTGAATAATTTTTTCAAAAAGTCTATGATGAAAATTTTTCAGGCAAATGTTTAAAGATATGCTCAGATCCATACCATATGTTCATATCGTATATATGAAGAATAAATGATTGCTTTAGGACACTGATGATGACTCCATGTTATCACAGCAAATTGCAACTCCTACTAATTCTTCTAACATAGAGAAGAAACTAAACATTTTCTTCCTAAGGCTTTTACTATCTTCTGAAAACTGCATCTTACCTAAGTTTCCATAGACCTCAATAGTCAAAGGACATACTTTAAACCACAAATATATTTTCTCTATAATCTGGAAAACTGTAGCAATAAACTAACCAGAAGTTTTCAGTTCATTATAAAATATTACACTATTTATACACTTACACATAAAATCCAAGCTAAAATAGTGAGAAAAAACCCAAATTCCA